TGAAGCTTGTACAATGACTATTTATTTCTTGCTGGGCTCAAAATGAATGCTTGCACACTTGCATATTGCAAGTGATTTTGTTAATCTGCAAATGAGAAAAATATTCATTCGTTAATGTTTGCAAGTTAGAATCATCCATGTCTTCCAAACGTCAATAGGCCATTTTACAGTTGTGTACTTAGTTGCCAAGCCTTTGATTCAGAGTGAGGCTGAAGGTGACTTTGTCATGATAGAGACCTGTATCTAGTTAGCATGACAACAAAGTGATTTACATTTGAAAGGTAGCAAGGTTTGTATCATAACAAGGTCACCCCTAGCCTCACTCCCATTCAAAGGCTTGGCAACCGAGCACACAACTGTAAAATGGACCATTCTATTCTTTCTATCAGATGTGGTCAGTGACATTTCAAAAGGAAAGAATTTGCTTGTTGTCTCACCAATTTGCTGGTGGAAGAAAATCTTATTAGCAAAACTTTGCAAGTGGACTAAAGAGCTAACTTTGAGCCCTGTCGTGGATTCCACATTCATGATATTTAAACCTATTTTGCAAATTTTGTTTTTTCTGGAGGTTCCTCTTCCAAGCTTGAGAATAGATTTGTACCGTTTATTTATTGGGGCATCATGTCAAATAACATGGGAGTAACCAACTTCTTTGGAGGGGTGCGGAAAGGAGAATGATTAGGATTAGCAATTTTTCAAATGGCATAGCTGTAATAAGTCCATTTTGATTCACCGTTTTTTATTATTGAAATGAAGGGACATTTTGTCCGAAAACTTGGTGCCATTGGTGACAAAGAAACAGAAAAAGAAGTTCTGTTATTGGAGAGAGATGTACCTCACTTGCCGTTTTCAGCTGCAGTACAGAAGGATCTTCCCACCATGCCCTGGTCAATCACAGACGAGGTGTGAAATAGTGATTAACTCTCTTCGTACACGCGTATTGATTCTCGCAATGTAGTTGCACGTTTTTGTCGAATTTAATATCTTAAGATGAGCATGAAGTATACCGAGGGAGAAAGAACAAGGAAATTATTTTTTTAAAGTCAGCCGGAAAAATGTTGATTTTTATGTAGGATTTCAAGAGTCGTTTGGACTTGCGGCACCTTGCTGTGTGTAGCATTGATCCTCCAGGGTGCACAGACATTGATGACGCATTACACTGGAGACTGCTGCCGAACGGAAACTACGAGGTAAGTGAAAAATGACGATTATTTATACGGGGGTATATTCTATTTATTCTCAATCTTATCGGTAATGTGAAGAATATCGGCTGTCTGACTGTTTTCTGAGCTTCAAATACCTTGTTCAAATCTTCAAATGTTTTTTCGCCAAGCCTACATTATGTTGTATGATTATGATTAATTGGACCGTCTTTATTATTCTTCATCAGGTTGGTGTACATATCGCAGATGTCACACATTTTATCAGACCAGGTACAGCTCTGGATGCTGAGGCAGCTAACAGAGGAACTACTGTCTATCTCACAGATAAGGTGACTTACAGCTACATAATTTATTTGATTTAGGCACTTTTAAAGCTTTCGCGAACGCGATAAAGGGACGGCACGCGTAAGTCAGTTCAGTGGGCGTGTTTAGCATGGAACTCATTTTTGCTTTATTTGATCACAATGGTTTTTTTTTTTTTACTTAACTGTTTGCTCAGCTCTCTCTGGAACTCTGTCTTTCTAACCAGTGGTACAGATGGGTCTTATTGAAGTCTATAATCTTTGAATTGAGACTGTAAATTACATCTCTAAAGTCACTCTGTGGGAGTTGAAATCTTGCATAGTTGTTGGTATTGACTTGTAATCTTTCTCATACAGCGTATCGACATGGTACCAGCACTCTTGAGTTCAGAGTTGTGTTCCTTGAGATCTAAAGTGGACAGGTTAGTTAGTTTAATATTAACAGGTTTTTGCACGGTACATATCTGATGCAAGTTAACTGACGAGATATGTTCCTCACTTTAGGCTGGCATTTTCATCCATATGGGAAATGACACCACAAGCTGAAATTGTTTCTACGAAGTTCACAAAAAGCATCATCTGTTCTAGAGTAAGTAAGTGTGGGTTTTAATAGCAAACAGCGTTGTAAACTGGAGGCTATCTGCAGTTAAGACAAACAATCCTGTGTTTAAACTTTCAGATTTCCTTCACGTATGCTGAAGCTCAGATGCGAATTGATGATCCGACCCAAACAGATGAAATAACTCTAAGCCTAAGACATCTCAACTTACTGGCAAAGATTCTAAAACAAAAGAGAATCGAACAGGGGTAAGGAGACTTAAATTTAAGGAAACAGTAATGCACGTAATTCTTGATCTGAACTCCAAAATAAACCACAGTCGACATGAATTCTTCTCGTACCCATACACTTTGCTCAACTACGTTTTATCAGTTCCTTTTTTCATCTTCTTTATTCATTCATGAATTTACCTTCTTATTTCAGGGCTTTAACTCTTGCGTCTCCAGAAGTTCGTTTTCATATCGACAGTGAGACCCATGACCCAGTGGATCTTCAAACAAAAGAACTCAAGTAGGCTAGCTATTTATTAATGTCAAACTTTTGCAGTTTATTTTGAATCCTTGAATGATCGCTTTATGGATTACCCACTCTAACTTTTGTTTTTTTGTACTTTTAGGGAGACGAATTCCCTCGTGGAAGAATTTATGTTGTTAGCCAACATTTCAGTCGCTAAGAAAATTTTTCAACATTTCCCAGAGTTTGCCGTTCTACGAAGACACCCTTCCCCACCTGCTGCAAACTATGATTTGTTAGTAAAGGCTGCGAGCTCCAAGGTGAGCTCCTTTGTCCGGGTGTTTTTCAGATTTTTGTTTGGAATTGATGTGTTGCATGTGGAATGTTCTATTGCACTTCACTTTATATTCTGAGCTCAACACTCGCCCATTTTGATTGCCTGCCTCTCGCCTTTAATTTTTTTTTACCACGGCATCGTTGGAGGTAATTGTTGTGTTTGTTAGTTCTTTACGAGGTTTCTTTGTAAAGCTAGGTCGCTAGGCAAAGGCCAGGCCACTAAGCCCTTACTACTGCTGTCCTGTTCTTTGCGATCTACACGTGTTTCCTCGTTTGTGATTAAAGCTATTCAGAAACTCAACCTGTGTGGTTTTTCCCTCGTCTGAACGCAACAGTAATGTTATCTTTATTACGTAAAACCTTGCAATAATAGAAGAAAAAATTAAAGACAATTAATTTTGAAAAAACAAAAACAAAACAAAAAGCAAAAATAAGAAAACAGTACCAGTAATGACGAAATTTAAAAAAAATCGTAGATGAGACGTGGTGGCGCAGGCTGGACGGTCAGCGCGCTGGATTTAGGGTTGAGAGGTGAGGTGTCGAGCCTTGCCCTGACCCCCCAACCCTAAGCAATCAAAATGGGCAAGTTTTGAGTTCAGAATATGAAGTAAAGTGCAGCAGAACATCCCTCACGTATGACATCAATGCTTGCCCTGATCAATGAGTTGTGTTTTTGGGCAAAACACTTTACTCTCACCCAGTTCCTCTCTTCATCCAGGAGTATAAATGGCCACCGGAGAACTGTCATGGAAGCTTGAAGAAATGCAGGGGATAACTTGAACTCGAACTGGCATCCCATCCAGGGGGCTTGGACTAGCATCGCAACCAGGGGGGAGTAATGACACTCCTTGTTACCTCCTGCCACAGAATCCGGGATAAGCTGTGGCACCTTGGGTGCCTCCTTGTTTGCAACATAAAACCTTCTGTCTCTTTGGTAGAAGATTTTGTGACATTGAAACACACTTTGATTGTTCGTCATCAGTGATGGGTTATACTGCAATCTGAGATTTATTTGTGAATTTTACCCCCTCCCCACCCCCCTTGTAGCCCCCTCTACTGTGTAACTCTGCTGCGCAACTCTGCCGTGTAACTCTGCTGTGTAACCCTGCTGTGTAACACTGTTCTTAGACATCACTTGCGTATCTGAATAGGGAGTCCAACTTGAAGTGGACAGTGCTAAGTCTCTCGCTGTTTCCTTGGATGCTGCTAATATCCCGGATGAGCCTTATTTCAACACTCTGCTTCGAATTATGGCGACACGATGCATGATGCAAGCGGTTTACTTCTGTTCAGGCATGCTCCCGGAAGAGGAATTTCAACATTACGGTTTGGCAACTCCAATTTACACTCATTTCACTTCACCAATCAGGAGGTGTGTACTGCTCTAATGTTCCATGAATCTACTACCAATTTAACCTCTGTTTATTGTATATTTCATTAACCTGAAACTTTTTCTACCTTTAGATATTCTGACATCTTGGTACATAGACTCCTAGCTGTTGCAATTGGTGCTTTAGATTCGTATCCAGACCTCCTTAGCAAAGACAAAACACAGGTGGGTACCACTAGGCTCCATTCTCTCGCTCTCAAAATAAGTGAGTTATCTCACCACGAGATTATTTCGGTCGTCAACGTCTTTTTTTGCTCCTCGGTTTCAGAAATTATGCAATCATCTGAACTTCCGTCACAAAATGGCCCAGTATGCTTCGCGGGACTCCATTGACCTGCATTGCCAGGTAGCGTGGTTTGTAATGTCATTCTGTTATTATAGTTCTGACTTCACAGAGTTTTCGTTTTGTTTCTTTTTTCGCGCTAAGGCTGTTTAGCTTATTTCATGGAATATTCTCTTTTCAGCTGTTTTTCCAAGGAAAGGCAATAGAAGAAGTAGAGGCGTTCGTGTTGTTTGTTCGTAAGAATGCGCTTCAAGTTTTGATCCCAAAGTATGGCCTTGAAGGAACCGTGTTATTGAACAAAGAAGATGGACCGGGGTTTACCTACGACGAAGAGGTGCTTTTCACTTATAAATTTGTAAATACATTGTCAGCTTTGATTTGGCAGAGAATAACTTCATTAGTAAGCATTGGTTTGTTTGACAAAATCGAAGGAATAATCATACTAATCGTGGAAGGTTTCTGGGGGACACGTGATGTGGATCTTTTCGTGTAAAATCTAGGTGATAGAGAACGCAGCGAGGGAAAGTGTTCATTACATTCCATGATGACATCACATGATCAATGCTCCAACACTTAGTTTACCTTGGTAACTTTGGTAAATGACAACAAGAATGATGTCAACAATTACCATTTCTTTTTCATTTTCTTGTTAATCAAGGAGCCATCCCTTACAGTTGGTGACGTCACCTATCGAGGGTTTGACCGAGTGGCTGTCAAGATTAATGTCAACAAGTCCTTAACAGAAAATAAATTTTTATCCTTCAGCCTCGTCTCCAAAAAGGTAGTTATAAAGACTTCCAACTACACAAACAAACAGATTTCACATTTTACATATTAGGACAGGAGGAAAGCTATGAACATCCCGTAGTGTGAAAAGTACTCAAACTGTTTTCTCATGTATTCGTTTATTATAACGACTATAATATTCTCTGGTCATTGAAACAAAATAGTTTTACTCGTCCTCATTTATTAAATCGTCTATGTGTTTCTATGACAGGGCAGCAGTACAGAGGACGTGACAGAACCTGTTTCCAAGAAGACTAAGTTCAACTGAATGATTCTGTTGAAAGATTGGAGAAGAGTGAGTCTACAGATGAAGAAGGTTGATACGAAGTGTAAAGGAACTGAAGGAGACCGCAAGCGACTCAACACAAGAACGACAGGGTTGAAAATGCCTCTGACAAGATGCTATCGGGATTTCAAATAGCGCAGTGCGCGATTGATTTATCAAAAACAAATTGTTCTTTTTCATTTATTGTTTTTATTAGATAATGTACTACTGTGGGTAACCGATGTCTAAATGGATCGGTAAGGCACATTTAAAAATGATTGTAGAAAAAATTGCGAATCTAACGTTTAATATCTCGCTACGCTCAATGTGAATTCATATCTAATGCAAGCATCATGTATTTTACATTTCTGTACAATTTAAACTGTCAGATAACTGCTATTCCTCCCTGTCGCGAGACTTGCAGGGACGTCATTACATCTGGATACTCCTTATTTGGCTAGAGTACCTATGATTATTTCCCTCCCTCAAAGTTATATTTCAGTGTAAAAGTATCTTATTATCTGGCCAATTATTTTTCCATTATTATTATGAAAATCCGATCTTTTGTTGACTCCAAGTATGGAGTATACAATGGAGTATTTACACTTCCTTTGATGAAAGGCTTATTTGGTACCTCATGAGAAAATTCAAATGTTTTTTTTTTTTTTAGATTACAAAGATATAGAGATTTAGCAAAATTGCCTCTTACTAAAAAGAGATAAACAAGTTTTACCCATGTACTGAAGTTACACAGCTATCTTATGTCTTTGCTGCAACTGACCTGTTGTGACATTTTAAAAAACAGGTTGGATGAAAATTCGACTGCCTATTTCTCCAAAGATTGTGCTGACGACTGACGAATGGTTGTTGCTCTAAACTCGTCATTGAAATTGGCGACAATGGAGCTACATTAAAATGAGATTTTTGTGCTGACGTTAAATTGTTTAGAGCAATTTTCGATTTAGTGTCGTAAAACCAAAGTAAGTGCATCAGCCATTCAGAAAAAAGGAAGAAAGAAACTAAAGTAGAAAGTCTGAAGCGCGGGAAAACGTACGCGGGGAAACGTGCGCGGGAAAGCCTCCTTTAGATTAGTTTTGAATTTGATTGATTTAGAGAATGGCGCGAGTTTCCTAGGCCAATCATACAATAAAGGAAAGCAAAACCAACGCAATACAGGATTATTTTAGACACTCAATTGAAAGTTGCTCTAATATGCATGTGAGACAATTTATAAACTTTCCACTCCATCAAGGTAAATTAAATACAACAAAACACTTTCCGTATTTACACTCTTCAAATACCCTCTACGAAGAAAGGTTGTCAAAATAGCCTTGGCTTCCGACAAGACTTTATGAATTGAACACAGAACTTTGGTAACTTTGATTTGTTCAATGAACTTTCGGGCGAGCCTCTTTTTTTTTATCTGATTCTCTAAATCTCGTCAAAATTACGGTCATGAAATCAAGTCCACTCTCCTGTATAAGTTCAATCCAAAGGTGGTCATTATACGGCCTCTCGTCGTTTGTCAAGCAGAAGTCCTCGATAGGTTGAAATAAATATTCTGATCTATAATCTAATGCCCTGCAGTATGCTAGAATTACATTGAAACGATTCTGACTCAATAATTGTCCATTTCCTCGGGAGACGAAAACGTTATTTTGATAATTGGATGTTTTTGATCCATCAGAATCTTCGGGTTCCCTAACAGTTTACATTCTTGACCCACCTGGGCGAGTGATGAAGCCGTCAGAGTATTTCACTAACACAACACAGGAAACGCTGTTCATTCTACAAACACATAAAGCCGTTTAAGTGTTGCCGCAGACCAGAGGGACACGTACATTTGTAGCTTCCTGGCGTGTTTACACATTTATGCTGACAAAGGAATGAATATCTGGAACATTCGTCAATATCTGTAAGCAAAAACCACTCTTGTGAGAACGTACCTTGTCTAAAGATTATCCGACAGTTGTAAAAACTTATGTTTACCATGAGGTCATACACAGACTGGGGACTGGGGCGATAAACGTGGCACAGGCTGCGCGAAGGAATAGAATCTTCTTAAACTTTGAAAACGTAAGTAAATGAATAAAAATTAAATAATAATACATATATATCTAATAATCTGATAAATACAAGAAACTTAGGTACGAGAAATCTCTTAAAGTTATACATTAAGTGAGCTCATTATTATTATTATTATTATTATTATTATTATTGTTATAATTAAAAAGGATTATCGTTTAGGTCAATATCTTCAAAAGCAGAACAGCATCTTTTATGAAAGAGTCTTTATTCTTTAGTTTCTCCCAAATATGTACCGTCTCCAGAACAGTTTCTCGATATTCAATTTTTCTCGCAAAACATCATAATGATAATAATAACCTTTATTTTAAGAGGGTGACACCAATTACTTTGAAAAGTATTCTCCCTAGTGGCCCTCTAAGGCACCCAC